AGAGAGAGAGAGAGAGAGAGAGAGAGAGAGAGAGAGAGAGAGAGAGAGAGAGAGAGAGAGAGAGAGAGAGAGAGAGAGAGAGAGAGAGAGAGAGAGAGAGAGAGAGAGAGAGAGAGAGAGAGAGAGAGAGAGAGAGAGAGAGAGAGAGAGAGAGAGAGAGAGAGAGAGAGAGAGAGAGAGAGAGAGAGAGAGAGAGAGAGAGAGAGAGAGAGAGAGAGAGAGAGAGAGAGAGAGAGAGAGAGAGAGAGAGAGAGAGAGAGAGAGAGAGAGAGAGAGAGAGAGAGAGAGAGAGAGAGAGAGGTCCTTTAATTGCTGTCATTAATATCGCGGTTAATTACACCGTGGCGAGAATAAAACCCGAGCCATTAAGGATCAGAGTCGTGTGTTGAAGTACTTACGCGTGACCTTTACAGCTCATGCGGCGCCATCAGATCCGACGGTCACCTGTCATGAGACGTGACAGTCTGGAGCTTTTTAACGTCTTGTTGTCATTTCTTTATTGTCATTTCTTTGTTTTGTCACACGCCAGAGCCACGGCGTTGCGGTTCGTGTATCCTCCTCCTCTTCCTTGTTATTCCTGCGTGACGTCACAAAGGAAGCTAAACCACCTTGGTCCTAATCTCGTGACGTCATCAACAGTACGAATCTCATGACGTCACAAAAGAGAGACAAACCGTTTCGGTCCTAGATTCGTGACGTCACAAAGAAAGCAAACCATCCCCGTCGCAAATCTCGTGACGTCATCTCGGTCCTAATTTCATGACGTCACAAATGAGGCCAAACCCCTTCGGCCCTGATCCCGTGACGTCACAAAGAAGGCCAAATCATCTCGGTCCTAATTTCATGACGTCACAAAGAAGGCCAAGCCATCTCGAGCCTAATCTCGGGATGCCATCAACCCTTATCACCGCTGCAGGCGAGTGTCACTCCTGTCACTGCATGTCACTGTCACTGTCTGCCACTGTCGCTCAAATCTGTCACGTCGAGGAATCATTTTTCACTCATGTCATCGCCACGTGGTCATCGCTCACCCGCCATCACCACAGTCGTCATCGTTCATCACCGGCGTCCGAAAGTTTAGGCGAAAGTTGAAAGTAAATAACAGCGAGGTTTGAGTTGAAGTCGAAGCCGAGGTCAAAGGTAAAATCAAAGTAAAATGAACTCTATTAGAAGTGTGTTTCAATGCGCGATGGAGACGGTTATCGCCATCGTTATTATTATTATTATTATTATTATTATTATTATTATCATCATCAGTAGTAGTAGTAGTAGCATTAGTATCATCATCATCATCATCATCATCATCATCATCATCATCATCATCATCATCATCATCATCATCATCATCATCATCATCATCATCATCATCGTCATCACCATCACCATCATCACCATCACCACCATCACCATCATCACCATCATCTCCCCCGCGCCTCCTCTCTCCTGCCTTGGGGATTCACAGGCGGCGTCGACTGCTGTCCTTTCTCATTCATATCTCTCTGGCTTCCTGACTGTCTTTCCGTGGCTGCGTCATGATGTAATGTCACGTTAGGCATGAGTAAGCTGTGAAGATCTTTAAGCGGCGTGAATTTTTTTAATATCGGTTGGAATTTCCTTGTAAGGGTTGTTATATACGTACGGTCACGCGTACATGGGTCGTATACGCATACATGGGTCGTATATGCGTATATATGTATTCACGCACAGGCACGTACACTCACACGGACACGTAAATGTACATGCATATGTATATGATCGCGTGCGTACACACACACGCACACACACACACACACACACACACACACACACACACACACACACACACACACACACACACACACACACACACACACACACACACACACACACACACACACACACATTCATATATACGCACAAGGCATCGACATTTCTTAAAACAAATAAACTAAACCGTAAACAAATGCATTAGCTAACTGTTTCTTTTGTTCATTCGTTCACTTGTTCTCTTGTTCTCTTATTCTTTTCATCTGTTTTGATTCCTGTCCGTATAACAAACAACGTGACGTTTGTTCACACAAGATTTTTTTTCACGTATTTAGATATCTGCTCAAATCGAACACATTCGCGATATTTGAATTTTTGTTCATCTTAATCGTCAAATATGTTGTTTAATATATATACGGATTTCTGGATTGTTATTGTTATTATTATGATATTATTATTATTGTTGTTGGTATCATTATAATTATTACCATCATCATCATCATCATCATTCTCCTCCTCCACCTCATCATCATCACCATCATCCTCATCCTCTTCACCATCACCATCACCAACCCACCACCACCACTTTTACTACCACCACCATCATCACCACCACCTTCACCATCATCACCACCACCTTCACCATCACCACCACCTTCACCATCACCACCACTTTCACCATCACCTTCACCTTCACCCCCTCCCCCCACCACTTTCACCATCGCTTTCACCATCACCACCACTTTCGCCACCACCATCACCTTCACCACCGTCACCACCACCAACATCACTTTCACCATCACTTTCACCACCACCATCACCTTCACCATCACTTTCACCACCACCACCATCACTTTCACCACCATCACCACCATCACCACCACCACCTTCACCCCCCACCACTTTCACCATCACCACCACTTTCACCACCACCTTCACCATCACCTTCACCACCATCACCACCACCACCGTCACCATCACCACCACCATTTTAGCTCTATCCTGTTCCCATATTGTAAATTCTGTTCACATTCAAATCGCGTCTCATGCTCCGCGTCATAAATGCAAATAATGACAGGCGTGACGAAGGATAACCGATGGATATAATTTAATAGGTTCGGATAAATTCGGATAAATTCGTTATCGTCAAGAAGTGCGCAGTCTCTCTCGTGGTAGAAATTTTATCTATTTGTCTATCTATCTGTCCATCTGTATGTGTGTTTATTTATTCATTTTTTTTGTCTGTCTATTCATCTGTTTCTATCCATCTATTTGTCTGATATCTATTTGTCTGTCTGTCTATCTATATATCTATTTGTCTATTCATTTATCAATCTGTATATCTGTCTATCTATTCAGCTATCTGTCTATCCATCTATCTTTCTTTATCCATCTATCTATCTGCCTATCTATCTCCCTACCTATCTATTTATATATCTATCTATTTGTATATATATGTGTGTATATATGTGTGTGTGTATATGTGTATGTATATGTGAGTGTGCAAATGTGTGTGTGCATGTGTGGATGATTGTGTATATGTGCGTATGTGTAGGTGATTGTGTGTGTGTGTGTTTGTGTGCATACGTGGGTGATTGATTGTGTGTATGTATGTTTGTGTGTGTGTGTGTGTGTGTGCGTGTGTGTGTGTGTGTGTGCGCGCGCTTGTGTGTGTACATATGTGAGTGACTGTATATGTGCTTGTGCATTATGGGTGACTGTGTGTGTGCGTGTGTATGTATATTCACATGAATCATAACCACACGTAAGAAAGAATCCGGTTTATAAAAATACATTTGTTACTCAAACGCACACTAATAATTTCCGTTCGAAAAAAGTAGGAAAGAAAGAGAATCCTGTTAGAGGCAGCGTTAATAACAACAACAATAATGGTAA